CTGCCCAGAACCTGGCCAGTCCATCGCAAGCCACTAGATACAAGTCTGTTCGCAAGCCCCTGTTACAAGCCTTCGCTGATGTGCAGCGTGTTCAATTGCCAGCGTGCTGTGTGGTGTTCGATAGATCTATGTCGCGCTTTTGAAGCATACCTGTTTGTGCCCTAAACCCGATATACCCTCTCAACCCAGAAACCCTTATGAAATCCTAACAAGCAAGGAACTTGAGGCACTGGATGCGAGCATCGACGGGGCCTTGGCGAAGATGAGCAAGGGGCACGAGCTGATTGGCCGGCTCGAGAAGATGCAGGATCCTGCCAATCCCAAATGCCGGGTGAAGTTGTGGCTAAGCTTGCAAGTCGATCGTGTGCCCTGTGAGCTAACGCAAGCTTGCGTTGTAATGTCTTGAACACATGGTTTGTTTTGCCTCGCTCTACAATTCAGGGCATTGGAGAACTTGGAGACTAAGCTCACTGCTGTGGACAACGGCCATTCCAAGCTGGTGGAGTTGAGGGCTCGATTGTCGAAAGAAAAGCATTCCGCCACGCTACCAAATTGCAGTTGGACCCCCAAACTTGAAAACACCTGCTTACGCAATCGTAAATATGTAGAATGCTTCTGTTCGCAAATCGTTTCAGGCTGCAAGATGAGATCGACAAGGTGTGGAAGGAAACCTCCGTAGCGTGCCTGGGACTGCCTGGTGTCTGCCCTGAACTGCACAAACCTACCCAAATTCCTGAAGGAGATTGTCCTGCCCTGCAGATACTCAGTCCCGCTCCCGCACTAGCAGCAACGCCAATTGCAACGCTTGCCCACACAATGAATGCCCTGGACCCTGCTTTTTCGGTTCCATGGTACTTTATAGTACTTAAGGGTTTACGTAGGGGATAAAAGAGTTTAAGCCCGAAATGCTTTTAAACCCCTAAGGGAATCAAAAAACCTATAAACCCTGCGTTTCCCAGGTGCAGTCGGCTCCTGGCGGCGGAGAACCAAGGGAAGTGCTGACCTTGGTCAGGGATCCTTAGGGATGTGGGGTTAAATAGGGTTTACTATAATGTTTATAAGGGGTTTGTAGGGCTTTCTGTGTAGGGTGTACAGGGTTGAAAGTTGTAGGGGTTTGTGTAGGGTGTACAGGGTTGAAAGTGATTGTAGGGTTTGGGTAGGGTTTGTAAAAATCTATGGGGTTTATAGGGTAGTCCTGGGACTCTGCTCAGTAGCAACTGCCCTTCACTAGTGGTATATAGGCCCAATTAGACTGTATAAGTAAACAGAGTCCCATGTTGGGTTTTGGGGGTCGACTAATTGCAGCAAGGGCCAGTAAGGGTTTGGAGGCCTTTCCGGGGTTCCGCTTGAGGTCCGTGGAGAAGACTCAGAAGAAGGCTGCGAAGACGGAGGAGTGCGATTGAGGATGGACGCCGTTGATGGCCCGTGATTCGTTTCAACAAAATTTTGGGAACACCCTTCGCAAAAGCAGAGAGCCCCCTCTGATCTTACATACATGTACGGCCCTATCGTGATTCTTGCAGTCTCGAGATGTGAGAGCTGGTGACAGAAGGGTGCCGGGTTGTGTCTGATGCAATGCGATCAGAACCAGAAAGCCAAAAATTATGTGCAATCAGTAGCTGATATCAAAACCAGTCGTGTTCCTTGACGCGACCAGCGGCTTGCCAAAAAGCTCGAGTTGCACTAGAAAGTTACACTGGCGCAAACCTGACGTGCTATGTCGCTGAGACGTCTATATACACATGCACACGTAGACGGATACTTGGAGTCGAATCCGGGTCCCCCGCGACAGGTCCTAGTGAGGAGATGGTGTCCTTCACCCGGCAAGTGGGCAAAGGAGTGCTGGGCCAAGTGTGCTTTGCAGACACGGTACTCCGTCTACAGTTACAGTGCAGTTTTGGGGGCTCAGATCATGTTGGGTACAGAGGATGAATGGGAGGCTGACCTCCTGGATCTGATTTATGGAAGTCCAACCCCCCCTGCGCCAGCCATGGCGCTCAAACGACCTCCCGAAGTGGAAGAGCTGCCGTCAATGCCGAAACCAAAAGAGCCTCTCAACTTCAATTCCTTTGAGTGCTGTAGAAAAGGTAGCATGACGAAGAACCCATCTTTATATAGCACTTCCACTCCAGCAAGGCTGAAGATCGAGGCCCCGCCTCGCAGGATGATTGCCACGCCCATGGAGAGGAGAACGGCAGCTTTGCGAAAGCAGAACATGGGCGAGAGACTCTATTTGGATTGTTCAAGCTCTGTTTGTTTTGGGGTTGGGTGTTTCTGCAGGGCAGGTGCTTAAGGGGTTTGTAGGGTCTGGGTGCTTAAGGGGTTGGTAGGGGTCCTATAGGAGTTCAGACCCCTTCTTTTCATATGTTTCATTCAAGAAAAAAACCATGTGTCGAGCCATGTGCTGCCTACATAAGGCACGCGGCTCTACACTGAGATCACTCTCTGAGGACTTCGACATGTGCCAAGGTAGACTAGAAAAGGAAGAAGTGATGCAGCAGGTTTGTGGTTTAGCCATAAAATGCTTGCCGTCGCAAAATGCCACAGCAGGAGTTGTTCTGCAACATTGCATACGCAAGCTGGAGCTGTTTCGAGCATCCTTGGGAAGCGCAGTGTGTGTCTACAAAATAGGGTACAGCAGTAACCCCATACAGCGGTTCGAAAGTTATCAGCTTGCAAATTTTACAAACATGTGGGTCCTGCACGTGACTGAGTGCAAAGGCACTGCCCTCATGTTAGAGGCAGCGTTAATCGCTTTCAATGCAGGGTGCGTAGGCTGCCGGAACGAGAAACCTGGTGGTGAAGGGCCTCAGCACCTTCAGCCTGAGCACTTTTATGTTTATGCTGTGGGAGCTCGTGCTGATCAATGCAAACCAATCGGTGGTTGAGCCCCTGTCAAATCCGTAATTCGTTCTGACGTGCGATTCGGTGTGCTGCCGAGTGACAAACATTGCAAAGCTATGAATGTTGTTGCAAGAGCCGCGAGTTTCGCACGGTCATTGGGCGCTTAATGTGACTCCTTCACAAGTCGCATGATTCGCCCAGGTGCCCTGCAAGGATGTCATTCTCCATGCCCGGGCTTCCTCTTCTGTGGAGCCTGCTGTCCGGAAACTTGGCAATGTGCCCCTTTCACATTCGGAGGCCGGGGTCCAGAAAGTGTTGAGGGAGAGCGGCTGCTCGCTCGGAGTTCCTTTGAGCTATGTTGACCTCCCGTCTGCAAAAGCCGTGCCGTACATTTCGCTGAGCAACTGGATCGATTGCTTGGCGAGGACCGATCGCTTACAGTACTTGACTGGTACGCCGGACGCTTCAGTGCGAAAGCAGCTGTGTACTGAGTTCTGGTCTAGGTTCCAGCGTTTGCGCCCGGACTTTCCAATCTTTTCGTTGGCCAGCGCTGGCAAAGTGAGAGTGGAAGACTGCGTGCCCATGCTGCACCATGGCGACGAGGGCAGATCCTATTGCAAACGGCCAATCATGATAATAAGCTCACACGGAGTGCTGGGTTCCGGGTGCAGAAAGTCAGAAAAGGCTGGGAAGTTGCCCATCGACATGGACCCGATGGATTTAAACTTCAAGGGGTCGACCCTCACGACGCACTACCTGTTTACAGCCCTTCCGCAAGCCCTGTACAAACAGCATCCCGAAGCTTTGGACATCATGCTCAAGCTGTACGGTGAGGAATTCGAACGGTTGGCGCACGACGGCGTGCCGATCTTCGAGGCTGGGAAGCAGAGTCGACTCTGGTTTTTTTGCATCGGCGTCAAAGGCGATTTGCCTTATCTTGGCAAGGCTGGACACTTTTTGCGAACATATTCCATGTGCCCGAAAAGAGCTGTTTCGAAGTCCCAGTGCAAAGGCATATGCTTCCTTTGTGACGGTGGCCGAGAGGGACTCGACCAGGAGTGCCCCTGGGAGGATTTTCGGAGCAATGCAAGATGGATCAGCACGATTGGCCGCGACGTTGGTGTTGCCAGCGACTCTCCACTGCTACAGATACCGCATGATGATGCTGGCCAGCTTTTCCGGCTGGACCTGTGGCATTGCTTTCATTTAGGCGCCGGCAAGTCCTTCACAGCTTCGCTTATCGTCCTCATCCTGGATGCCATGGCAGATCGGGGCAATGAGGGTGTAGAGACGCGACTGGCGATGTTGTCTGCTGACTATCGTCAGTACTGCAAGCGCTGCAACAAGTATGCCTACGTCAGTGGTATCAGCAAAGACATGCTGGGGTGGGAAAAGAACAGCGATATGCCGCAAGGCCACTGGAGTAAGGGATTTCTGACGACAAATCTTTTGGCATGGTTGGAAGACCTTCTGGACCGTGAATGGAAAGACACCCAGGACCCGCTTCTGTCCGATGCTGTGGCTGGGCCATTTCAGTTTGGACTGATCTTCAAAGTTTTGGTTTGTAGTAAGGTTCCTTTCTTTGTTTTTTTTTCAATTGCGGATTCGAGCTCGATCCTCCGAGGCGTATGCGACGCGCCTGGCAAACAGGTGTTTGGCTGGGCTTTACAAGTCTGGGATCTGGATCTTGTCCGAGAGGGCAGAGGAACTGGCAAACCTGGGATTGCAATTTTTGCAAATCTATTCAAGATGCGCTTCGAGGGCGTTCCTTCGATCGATGAGACGTTTTTGCTTGATTCCGAAGCTCCATTTCTGCAATCACCTCTTTTTGGAATTACTACGCCAAAGCCGTCTCGCACGCTGGGCAGAGAATCCGTTGGTGTATTCGGTACAAATGCAGGAAGATTTTATAGGAAAGCCGGCGCGAGTCTCACGCCGCATCTCGCCAAAGCTACATGCTTTGCGTACCGTTGAGCACGTCCTGATAGCAATGTTTGCCGAATTCAGACGTATTGAGTCCAAGTAAAAAGATGAGCGGGGGGGCGTCGTGGGATCGAGAGTTAGAACCCCATCAGGAAAGAGAACCTTCAACCCTATTATGTAGACAAAGGGAACCCTCAACCCTAGGATGTGGACCCTTACCCACATGCAGTGGGTCAATGCACCTTACCCACAAAACGGAAGGCAAACGGTGTTGCAGGTAGGGTTTAGGGTTTAGGCTTCAGGGCTTAGGGTTTAGGGTTCCCGACTATGATCCTCTGAAACCCAAATAAGGGAAAATAGGAACATGTCCCAAGGGCCTACCGAGTGACTGAAGCTCTGCTGGGATTGGGGTGCGGCCACCGGAGGTCGGAAGGAGCCGAAGAGGACTCGTCGCATGATCGCCTCGATGTCCAGCAGAAGGCTGTCGAGCTGTCGGCGGTTTGGACTCTTGCCCTGCCTAGACCCAGGAGTAGGCTAGGAATAACAAGAATAACAAGGGTGCCCCTTTTTGGGGTTTTAGGGGATTCTATAAGGGAACCCCAACCCCTAACAAAAAAGGAAAGAAGGGCCGATTGCGGGTCCTAGCTGCTGAAGGATCACGAACTCGGCGGACACCTCCTGGCTCAGGATCGCGAGCTCCGAGACTTGCTGGTGCCGCTGGATCCACTCCTCTGCCGTCAGGGTGCCATTTCCTTACTGTTGGTTCGTAGGGAACTTGGGAATGAGGTACCCCCCACGTAATCCCTTGAAAAGGTATAGGGCCCGTTGGTTAGTAGGGAACTTGGGAATGAGGTACCCCCCATGTAATCCCTGAAAAAGGTATATCTACGGCCCTATTATTCCCTCATCCCCTGCTAACCAACAGCCAAGTTTCGGCAGGTGCCTGCGCCTTGCAATGCCAGAGCCACCGCCTCGAAGGCCTTCACGGCCCTGGGGCTCACCTCCACCTTGGTTGGTACTCCCCTCCGCCTAAAACCTAGGCCCGAATAGTAAATACCCCTGTGATAGTTATATTAGAGTATATGGGGGGGTGATTTAATATTAGGGGGTAGGGGGGTTTAATATTGGGGGGAGGGGAGTAGAAGAACCCCCATCTTACATTGAGTCAGTAAAGGGTGCCCTTGTTGGGGGTTGGTTGCTTACTTTATAGAAGGGACCAGGACCCCCCCCCCCCCCCCCTTCCAAGAAAAAAACGAAGTGGGGTTAAAGGGTGCTAGACCTAAAACCCTAAAACCCTAAAACCCTAAACCCTAAACCCTAAACCCTAAACCCTAAACCCTAAACCCTAAACCCTAAACCCTAAACCTAAACCCTAAACCCTAAACCCTAAACCCTAAGCCTCCGGGCTGCCAAGCCACTAAGGGAGTCAGCGCTGCCATGTCTCCGTTCGACGCGGCGAGAGCCGCCAGTTCCAGCTCGCCGAAGAGATCCGTTGCTTCCTTCATCTGCTGCACCATGCCTTTCCCCCGAGGTTGTTTAGGGTCTAGGGTTGTGGGTTTACGGTTTAGGGTTTAGGGTTGAGGGTTGAGGGTTGAGGGTTGAGGGTTGAGGGTTTGGGGTTTCCGAATTTCTGGCTGTTTAGGTCCCAAAAACCAGATTCCCAAGGGCTTTTGGGCCCTAAAATACCACAACTATAGCCGAGCAACACCGTAACAACAGCTGTTTGGGGAGGGAGATTGGTTGCTTTTGTATAAGAACAAGGAAGCCGGAACTGGCCAGAACCAGAAAGGAGGCAACAACGCGAGCGCGCGCGCGCTGCTCATGTGCCAAGATGCACACATCGCTCATCTTCTCCACAGCTGGGCCTGTCTCAGTGGCCGGAGCCCCTTCCAACAAGGTCCAACGATTTCTCTCGAAGGCAGCTCGGGTGGCGTTCAAGTTGTCCCAGTTCTCAGCCACCTCCCGCCCGGAGCTGATGAGGCAAGCGTACTCTGTCATGCTGGAAGACAACCTCGGTTGGCCCTTGAACCAAAACCCTCTCACACAAGTGCCTAGCATATGGCTCAAGATGATCCTCTTATACCCAATAAGGGACATAAGGGGAAAATGCGAAAATATTCCGAGGACTTACCCAGCAACCTTGCTTGCTGGCTAGCCAAGTCAATAGCCTTTGCTCTTGAGACGTTCGCCATGCTAAGGCTCAGCTGCATAACGTTCTCGAGATCCACCAAAATGTAGTTGCCTAGGGTTTTAGGGTTTAGGGTTATTCAGGGTTTAGGGTTTAGGGTTTAGGGTGTAGGGTGTAGGGTGTAGGGTGTAGGATGTAGGGTTTAGGGTTTAGGGTTTAGGGTTTAGGGTTTAGGGTTTAGGGTTTAGGGTTTAGGGTTTAGGGTTTAGGGCTCGAGATCCATCAACATGTAGTTGCCTTGGGGACGACATATGAAGTAGGGTTTTGTATTTCTTGTACCCCCAGAAGGACACCAGGTATATAAACTCACCAATATAAAAAAGGAACCTTATATACACTCACCCAAAACAGTACTGTAAACCCCTGTTTTCATATGAAACCTAAGAGGTCCCATGGAACATAAACCTTGCTGGGGGACTGGGGGGTGTATAAGGCACATGACCCCAAATTCTAAACCCTAAACCCTAAACCCTAAACCCGAAACCCTAATAAATTCTATAGGGCTCCTTGCGCCCCCAAGGTGCTCAGCTGCTCCACCCTTGCCACAGTCACCGAGGATATGCTCTCCAAATGGACTGCCTGGCTCATCTCGGCAGCCAAGGTATCCCAAGTCTCTCGGGCCTTACTTCCACAATAGCGGGTTTAGGGTTTAGGGTTTAGGGTTTAGGGCTTAGGGCTTAGGGCTTAGGGTTTAGGGTTTAGGGCTTAGGGTTTAGGGTTTAGGGCTTAAACTTTATAATTCCTACTAAGTAAGGAAACCCAAAAAGTTTAAAGTTCAACTATTGGCTAAGTAAGACGCCTTCAAGAGCAGGTCAACCACAGCCTGCGAGGGTGGAGCGGGGATGCCCAGCATCTTGCTCCCCTCGATGAGGTTTCGAAGGTTCATGGAGGCACCCGACGTGAGCACCGTGATCTCCACTTTGCTTGTCTTCACATCGATCCTGAGGGCGATCTGCATGAAGTACTGCGACGTCTGCTGCGTCAGGAGCTGCTGCTCTGTCAACGTGGAGAAGTAGGAGAGCCAGTCGTTCTGGGTCATGCTTGCTGCAGGGTCGCAGTTCCCGTCATCATCACCGAAGAGCTTCACAGCTTCCACCATGGCGTCGAACAAAGGGTCAGTCAACTCACACATCTCTTCTGCGACTTCATCAGCAGCCGCTTGGCTCGCCGAGGGCGTGTCGGCATTGGTGATGCCAGTCAGATATGGCCGAATTTGCGCATAGTAGAAGCTCACCTCAGTCATCTGGTGAAGGGTGCAGAGCTTGTCAAGGACCGGAAGCCCCGCGAAGGGCACACCCTGGATGATGCCATCGTGCGAGGTCTCGAACAGACTCTTGGTGTTGCGGTACGCTTGCATGTTGAAGGTCATCGCGACGCCTTGAGCTAAGAAGAGGATGCCCTTGGCCAGCCTCTGGATCAGGGTGCGCTGGCGCCCCGCGATGTCCTTGCAATTTGGGCTGAGAAAAAAAAGGGATGCACGAGAAACACGAGGAACCCCAAGCTCTAGACCCTGTAAGCCCTAAGCCCTAAGTCCTAAGCCCCTAAGCCCCCAACCCTAAACCCTTAAACCCTAAACCCTAAACCCTAAACTCTACACCCTAAACCCTAAACCCTAAACCCTAAACCCTAAACCCTAAACCCTAAACCCTAAACCCTAAACCCTAAACCCTAAACCCTAAACCCAAACCCCTAAACCCTAAACCCTGCCTGCACCAGGCCATTGGTGGTCGCCCCTGAAACCTTCGCAGCATCCACGATGGCCTGGACCACCTCGTTGGAGGTGTCCAAGAGGGGCACGTTCTGCGTCGAAAGCGCCTCGAGCCTGAACTTAGGGTTTAGGGTTTAGGGTTTAGGGTTTAGGGTTTAGGGTTTAGGGTTTAGGGTTTAGGGTTTAGGGTTTAGGGTTTAGGGTTTAGGGTTTAGGGTTTAGGGGGTTTAGGGTTTAGGGTTTAGGGTTTAGGGTTTAGGGTTTAGGGTTTAGGGTTTAGGGTTTAGGGTTTAGGGTTTAGGGTTTAGGGTTTAGGGTTTAGGGCTTCTAGTACCCCAAAAAAAAGGGTCAAATTTGAAAAATGGTCTTCAACAATGACCCAATCATGACCCAGGAGCACGATCATGTCCAGGGAGCCATCGGCGTGGCGCACCGTGTCCACGTTGTCGCGGAGGAGGGCTTCCATGGTCACCCAAACCGCATTCACATTCCTCGGTTTCAGGGGATTCCTAACCCTAAACCCTAAACCCTAAACCCTAAACCCTAAACCCTAAACCCTAAACCCTAAACCCCTAAACCCCTAAACCCTAAACCCTAACTAGGAACAGACCTGGGTTGCCTAGGAACAAACCATAGGTTGCCCTTTTTTTGGTGTTTTTTTTGTTTTTACCAGGGGCTTTTACAAAAGGGGGAACCCAAACCCAACCAAGAAAAGGGGATATCAGGGCTCTACTCTGGGTCCGATGTTTTAAACCCTCTGAAAAAAACATTTATCTAGTCGGGTCCCTTACAAACCCCAAAAAAGGGAAAATAAGACATGTCCCCCAAAAACGGAGAAATGACACATGTCCAAACAAAAAAAGGAAAAACAAAAACTTGTCCCAAAAAGCAACCCTAAACCCTAAACCCTAAACCCTAAACCCTAAACCCTAAACCCTAAACCCTAAAACCCTAAACCCTAAACCCGAGACTCTCCAGTGCTGTGACCACCTGCTGGTTCGGAGCAGCAAGGATGCCACGGGCGCTGTCACCTGGGGTAGCCCCAGTCACCCTATTCTAATAAGGGCAGCCTCTTTTGAGTTTAGGGTTTGGGGTTTGGGGTTTGGGGTTTAGGGTTTAGGGTTTAGGGTTTAGGGTTTAGGGTTAGGGTTTAGGGTTTAGGGTTTAGGGTTTAGGGTTTAGGGTTTAGGGTTTAGGGTTTAGGGGGTTGGTTGCTTTACAAGGGAACCCGAAACCAAAAAAGGGTAAAGGGTACCTCTGGGCTACCAAGTCACCCACCAAGAGGGCGTTCAAGGTGCTATCCTTGGAAGGCCACGACAAGAACCCTCTGAGAGAATAGTCTTGAATGGCCCTTCCAGGCCTAGGGTTTTGGGTTTGGGGTTTAGGGTTTAGGGTTTCGGGATTGGGGTTTTGGGCTTAGGGTCTAGGGTCTAGGGCTTGGGGTTCCTAAATATGATCCTCTTACGCCTAATAATGGAACATGTAAAACACAATCCCAAAAAGGCCTACCTAGTCTCGAAGCTCGCCATGCTCTCAGAGAGCTTCCGCTTGTTGTCTTCCACGTCGGTGCCGCGAGAGATGAGGAGGAACTCTTTGGTCATCATCTGCGATAAGGTCCTCTGCATCCCAGCCAGGTTGATGGTCTCTGCCCAGTCTGCCTTGGCAGCCCAGGAACCATATCTGTCAATAAGGGCAGCCCTTTTGGTATCTTTTAATAAGGGCAGCCCTTTTTGGGTTGGTTACTTTACAGGTTCATAAGGGCAGCCCTTTTTTGGGGTTTGCTTACTTTACATGGGGAAACCTTAACAAAAAAAAGTAAGGGGTACCGCTGGGCTCCCAGGCTGCCTGGCACCTGGCAAGAACGACAAAGAAGAGGAGGCTCCACATGGCTTCTGGCTACCGGCGGATCTGCGAAGCCTGGACTTTGAGAAACTTGTCAATGCATCTCTGTTGAGTCAGTCACCCCTCAACCCGCAATCTCGAACCCTACTAGGAGGTTCATGAGTACGTGTGTCCTCAATACGGATATCACCAGAATTACTCTTCTTCTAGCCCTACTTCTAAGTACCCAGGAGCCACCAAGTAAACCCCAAACCCTAATGTAACCCTAAACCCCGGGCCCTAAACCGTAAAAGCCCTAAGCAACTCCAGACTAGCGTGGGCCTGCCTTTCCCTTGAACTCGTTGTCCGTGTTAGATGGACCTCGTGAGCGCATGAGGGACGTAATCCCAGAGAGCCAAAGCCCTAAACCCTAAACAGTACACCCTAACAAACCTTTTAAGTCCAACAACTCGAAAAAGCCACAAAGCCCTGGACCCGAATACCCTACAGCTCACACATTCACGATGCCCGAAAAGCCCCCCGAAACTCAAACACACTAGAAGTTCCAGGCCCTAAAGTCCTGAACCCAAACATCGCCAAAGGCCAACAGCCCTAGACAGAAACGAGGGTTTTGGCCTCAGTTCAGAGTTTAGGATTGAGGGCTAAGGTTAGGGTTAGGGTTGGGGGTTTCGGTTTCGGGTTTCAGGCTTGGGGATATCGAGGTAGGGCAAACTTGCGCATAACTTGTCATGCCCTTATATGGGATATCTTCTTACCCTGCATGCAAGTATCCATCAAGCCTGAACTGAACCCTAATGACCCCTTCATCACAACCCTATACGAGCTAAACCCTCTATAAACTATAAACCCAAACCCCAAACCCCATTATGCAAAAAAGAAAACAAAAAAAGCGCCCTATGTAAACCCTGTATGTATCCCACCGCGGCTGCTTTCGAGCGACGTTTCGACATCGTCGAACCCCACATGAAGGGCGACACGCCTGCCCCAACACTGCAGGGGTTTAGAGTCTAAAGGGCTTGGGGTTTCGAGCTTAGGGAGTAGATTAGGGTTTGAGGTCTAAAAGGAGATTAGGGTTTGGGGCTTGGGTCTACAGGGATTAGGGTTTAGGCCTATTGAGAGTTTTAAGCATTAGAGTCCTTTTACTTCCTTCTCCTTTCCTGAATATTTGCTTGAGAGCCCCCCATTCATCAACAACTGTTCCTTGTAAGGGTAATGTAGGGATGATTGTCCCACATTGGTTGCTTTTTTTTTGGGGGGGGACTCAAGCAAAGAGTTCTCCCAGGGGTTTAGGTTTAGGGAGGGCTAGAGGTGCTTCGGAAGTTTTTCGGGGCGCGCTCTCGCTTCTTCTGTTGTAAGTTGGGTTTCTGGTTTAGAGTTCAGGGTTCAGGGTTCAGGGTTTAGGGTTTAGCGCTTAGGGTTTAGAGTTTAGAGTTTAGGGTTTAGGGTTTGTAAAAGGGCCTAGATACTGTGAAGGTTAGGATGCAGCAGAGGCTCGAAAGCCTCGTCAGGTGCGAGGAGCAGCTCTGGCCAGATAGTGGAAGGCCATCTAAAACCTTTATCCCACCCCACGTCGTCCAAGGCGGCAAAACCACCCTAACCTATTCCCTTTAGGGCTTAGGCCTAAACTCAGGACAATTGCTTACTTCCAATAAGACGTCTTCCGTCACCGACAGTCACTTTAGGCAGCGGGAAGGTTCCAGTCCAGGGGGGTCGCAGACAGGTTAGGGTCGCTGTCAGAAGGTTTCGTTGTGGGGTTTGAGGGTGAGTCCCCGTCCCAGAAGGGTCCCGGGGGTCCCAGGAAGGTCTCAGAACCTTCCAGGCGGGTTTTCCAGGCGTGTTTTTTGGGTTTCAAAGCGCAAACGCACTTTCTCTGGGTCGGCCACAGCCGTCCTGGTCCCTGGGCGCCTGGGGCCGGCCCTTGGGGTATCCTCGGCTGGTCTCGAGGGGGGCGGCCTAGGCCTGGAGTTTAGAGGGAGGGAGGGTGGGACGGGGGGAGGCGTGCCAAGATCTGTTGTTGAATTGCGGGGTTCTGTGTCTGATAAGTACGACGTAGACAACACAGCCCTGTCCCATCAGAACGTGCGTCTTGCTTTACTGAGGCGAGCGGACGGCACGTGGCCTCGAGGAGACGGGATTTAGGATTGAGAGGTTTAGGATTTGGCTCAAGAGCTTCCAGTTCCTAGATATTCTATCTCCACCAACCCCTGATATCTACTAATCCTTTACAAGGTCTCAGGGCCTCAGGGCCCCTCAACCCCTCAAAACCCATATATATATATATATATATTCACGGGGCCCTTGACCCTAAACCCCTCCTAGGGTAGTGTCACGCATATGCCCCCTTTCAAAGCCTCTGAAAGAAGGTAAGGGGACCAACCATGGAGCTACCCTTAGAACCTCAGAAGCCCGGACACCCCAAACAAGGCGACTTTTCCTGCAGCGCGGAGAGACCAGAGGCTCCAACAGCCCCGAATTGGGAAAGGTTGTCGTAGGACTCAACACTTACCTTGTAAACTCCCGAACCTTACACGCTAAGCGTCTGATTGTTGGAGTCTCTGTTGGGGGGGCGGGCTCAGACGCGGCAAGCTCTGTCAGCGGGGGGGCTTAGTTTATGGTTCGGGGAGGTCAAGGGTTTCTGGTTTGAGGGTCACAAGGAGCTGAGCTGGGTTTTGGGTTTTGGGTTTCGGGTTCACAGTCCAGGGCGCTTCCGAAAGGCTGCCGTTGTGTTTGTTCGGTATCCCCAACTCCCGCAGTAAGCTGAAACATGCGCTTCGGACATACAGAACGTCTATGCCAAAATCCACTCGATTTCTGAACCTGACGGTGTAGGCTTCATAAGCTTAGGCATGCACTTCACCTTCCCCTCTGCAAGCATCCCTTGCACTGCACTGTACAATCGCCCCGTCGCAGGGGCAATTCTCCGCGCGCTCTTGACAACAAAGGCGCGGAACGGCGTGCGGCTCAAAAAACCAGATTCCCTAAACCCGAAACCCTAAATCTCTCATACGCATGTGCGGAAGCAGCAAAGTCACAAAGCGCCAGTGAAAACAACACCCTGGAGTTCTCGGAGGCAGACTCTGACAACAAAGATGTCAGATCCGGGCGTAAGTCCCGAGATACGTCGGGAAGGCTTTCGTCTATCATAGCATGGCTGGAACTACTGACCCATGGACCCATGGTTACACTGCCTCTGGGAGGTCTGATAAGACTCTATGTTCTCGTGGGCTTTGGATTGGGGCATAATGCTAACATGAGGGATACTTGGAGGTTCATGGTACTGATTAACCAATTATAACTGTACTTAGAACTGTACTTATAACCATGTTCTAAGGGCACTTAAGGGGCCTATAAGTGGGTCATAGATTTCACTTATAGCTGGCTAATAAGTACCATGAACCTCCAAGTGGGTCGACGACTCTTGGCCAGGACCTCAGTCATCTGTGTTGCCGAAGGTCACCGGTACGTAGAGCGGCGCCTGCTCCAGCTCTTCCTTGGCCAAGGTCGGAGCTTTTGGCAAAGTTTGGGGTTTATGCCAGGGTTTATGGTTTTAGACTTTTGGCCTTAAATCCTAAACCCTAACCCCTAAACCCTAAACCCCAAGCCCTAAACCCTAAACCCCAACCCCCAAACCCTAATCCCATGACGGAGCTTGGCCCTCATGGCATGGATCCATGATGCCCCGCATGGATAAGGCAGCAAAGGCAGCAGAAGTGGGCTCGGGGCTTCAGGTTTGCTCAGGGCACAGAGAAGGTGCGGTAGGGTTTAGGGTTTAGGGTTTAGGGTTTAGGGTTTAGGGTTTAGGGTTTAGGGTTTTGGGTTTTGGGTTTTGGGTTTTAGGGTTTTAGGGTTTTAGGGTTTTAGGGTTTTAGGGTTTTAGGGTTTTAGGGTTTTAGGGTTTTAGGGTTTTAGGGTTTTAGGGTTTTAGGGTGAAGGATTTGGGGCTTTCATGCAGCTTGGTGCCACCGAACTTAACCTGCAGAAGCCCCTACGTGAGCACGCCACCGCGTCCCCCGCTGCAACCAAGCGCTGCCTAGATGCGGAGGTGCTCGGCTCCTGTCAGATTCACGCAGACCTATAGGGTTTGGGCTTTAGGGTTTAGAGTTTAGGGTTTAGGGCTTAGGGCTTAGGGCTGAGGGTTTACTGTTTAGGGTTTTGGGTTGCAAGGGTTTCGGGTTTAGGGTGTAGGGTTTAGGGTTTAGGGTAAACCCGAAACTTGGGATGTTCCCCCTGATACTAACAGTCCTGAATAGGGATTATAATCGGGGGTACGCGAATCCCTATTGAGGACTGCTAGTATCAGGGGGAACATCCCAATTCGAAACCTGTATACCCTACCTTAAGAACCCGAAGCCTTCTTTGTTGCAGGGCACCTAAGAATGCTCTAGGGGGTTATATGGTGAGAACCTACAAAGAAGTACGTAGGTTTGGGGTTCTTACGGTACATCCTAAAGCATCTTAACCCATGACAGCCGTAATTCAAAAGGGCTCCGAAGCTCAAACAAAACAAACCCTCAGGTTTAGGGTGTGGGTTTGGGGTTTGGGGTTTGGGGTTTAGGGTTTGGGGTTTGGGGTTTGGGGTTTGGGGTTTGGGGTTTGGGGTTTGGGGTTTGGGGATTGGGGTTTGGGGTTTGGGGATTGGGGTTTGGGGTTTGGGGTTTGGGGTTTGGGGTTTGGGGTTTGGGGTTGAATCGGACCGAAGTCTGTTACGTCGAAGGTGATACAGGAGTGGTTTGTACACTCTCAAGAATGCTACTTGCGCAGGAACGCGCTTCAGGTGATACTGCTAATTTTGGCAGGTAAGTGCGGGTCAAACCACATCCTCATGGGGTTTGGGGTTTGGGGTTTGGGGTTTGGGGTTTGGGGTTTGGGGTTTGGGGTTTGGGGTTTGCGGTTTGCGGTTTGGGGTTTGGGGTTTGGGGTTTGGGGTTTGGGGTTTGGGGTTTGGGGTTCGGGGTTTGGGGTTTGAGGTTTGGGGTTTGGGGCGTCCGCCGACCCTGGCGGCGTGTTGGATTTTCCTGGGACCCCCCGCCGGACCGTTCCTGGGA